CCGCCCGCTCCGGGGGACCGTGAACGAAGGCCTGGCTCTCTCCAGGGACATGGCGGCACTGGATTTGTCACTGACCATGGTAGTGACCAAAAGCAACACGCCAAGTCCCTCTGGCACCCCCGCCAGTATGTGCGACACGCCCCTCCGATGCAAGAGCCACCGTGACTGCAGCGATTCAGAGGGAACAAGCGGCCCGGAGGCTACAGCCTCAGACAAGGTGCTGTAACGCACGGCTCCGGCCAAAGGCCCCTAAAAAACGCATGGGAAGGCAGCGAGGGTGCAGCGGCTCCCGCCTGGAATCCCGGCGCTTTGAGAAGCTGAGGCGGGTGGATCACGAGGTCAACAGATCGAGACCAGTTGGCCGACACGGCGAAACCCCGTCTCTACTAAAAATACAAAAAAATAGCCGGGTGTGGTACCGCGCGCCTGTAATCCCAGCGACTAGGGAGGCTAAGACAGGAGAATCGCTTGGACCCGGGAGGCGGAGGTTGCAGTGCGCCGAGGTCGCCCCATGGCACTCCAGCCTGAGCGAGACTCCATCCCAGAAAAGACAATAAAAAAATAAAATTGCCGGCCGGGTGCTGTGGCTCAAGCCTGTAATCCCAGCACTTTGGGAGGCCGAGGCGGGTGGATCACGAGGTCAAGAGATCGAGACCATCCTGGTCAACATGGTGAAACCCCGTCTCTACTAAAACTACAAAAAATTAGCTGGGCATGGTGGCGCGTGCCTGTAATCCCAGCTACTCAGGAGGCTGAGGCAGGAGAATTGCCTGAACCCAGGAGGCGGAGGTTGCGGTGAGCCGAGATCGCGCCATTGCACTCCAGCCTGGGTAACAAGAGTGAAACTCCGTCCCCCCAAAAAAAATAAATAAATAAAATAAAATTGCATGCCAGGTGCTTCCTCCTACCCTGCTTGAAAAGGAGCCAGCGCCTGCCACCGCCTTAGAATCCACGGACTCTAACGCTGCCCGTTATTCTAACACACGTGGGCTACAGCCGGTGGCTGCGCGCTCCACCTAATCCGCGGAGAAGGTAACAAAGCGGGGCAGGTGGAAATAAGCAAAACCCTCGACAGTTTTCCGGGCGCACAACCAGGCTCAGTCCTTCGCCGGGGGGAGGCTGTGCCCGCGCACCGCGGCGGAGGCGCTGGGACCCCGGTCCGACCCCCGCCCGCGACCCCCGCCCCGGCCCCGCCGGCCGGCCTTACTAGGACATGTCCAGCAGCTGGTCCAGGTCCACGCCGCGGTAGGTGAACTTGCGGAAGGTCCGCTTCTTCTTCTGCTCCACCTCTGCCTGCGCGGGCGCGGGTCCGGCGTCAGCGGGATCCCGACACCCACCACCCGGGGCCACCGGGCACGAGGACCCCGCGCACAGAAACCCGACGGGGACACACCGCCTCGACCACCCCCCGGGGTCACGCGCGGCTCCGGGTTACGGGAACCCGGACAGGCCTCCCCCGCCCCGCATCGTCCCGACACCCACCGGGCCCGCCCCACACCCCAACATCTGGCCGCCTCCAAGGTCCGGAGCAGGCCACCGTGGCCACGCGGCCGTCCTGCGGCTCCCGCGGACAGTCAGAGGTCGGATGGAGCCGGATAGGCTCGGGGTAGACGCGCCAAATCGCAACACTCACCATCTTGCCGGATCCCGGGAAAAGACCGTTCTTGTCCGCGCCTGCGCAGTTATCGCGAGACTGCCAGCGTGTCCCGCCCCCTCGGCCGTGAGCGCACACGCGCTTCCGCTTTCCCGGCGGCGAACGCGCGCCCTCTGCCGGCTGGAGGGCAACACACAGGCTGCGGGGACTAAAGGGACTGAGCTCTGCAGAGCCGCTTCCTCCACCGAGTGGGACTCGGGTTCGTGCTCCGTTATCTACAGGGTGACACCCCCCTTGAGTATTCATGGAGCGCCTACTGTTGGTTCGTGGGTGCGGTTTGGGGGTTTAGGTCCCAGTGTGGGAGGAAGACAAGAGGTTATTACAGATACCGGAGCAAGGACAGGGCCACGATGAAAAGAACCATTCAGGCTTTAACAAAAAATTTTGTATAGAAAGTTAGTAAGGGGCCGGGCGCGGTGGCTCAAGCCTGTAAT